CTGATGGCTCAGTGGTGAAGACTCCACCTGCCAATTCGGGGAACTCAGGAAGATTCCACATTCCATGGAGCAACTAAGCCCACGTGCCTCAACTATTGAGCCTGTGCTCTCGAACCCAGGGGTCTTCCCAGGTGGTGCTAGTGGTAAAGGACCTGCCCGCCAGTGCAGGAGACATAAGAGCTGTGGGTTCAACCCCTGGGCTGAGAAGATCCCCTGGAGGAGGGCATGGCAATCTACTCCAATATTCTTCCCTGGAGAATCCCTTGGGCAGAGGAGCCTGGTGGGCTATAGTCCATAGGGTCACAAAGAGCTGGACACGACTAAAGTGAATTAGCCGGCCCTGGAGCCTGCGAGCCACAGCTACCAAGCCCCCGTGCCCTAGAGCTTCGTGTGCCGCAAAAAGAGGAGCCACAGCAATGAGCAGCCCATGCACCACAATTAAGTAGCCCACCCATTCACCCCAGCAAGAGACAGCCCTGTGCGGCAATGAAGACGCAGCACAACCAAAAACAAACAAACTAATAAATTAAGAAGGAAATAAAACTATGTTTTTTAATAAAAGACTAAGAAATGCCTCCCAGGCAAGGAGACCAAAGAACTTCCCTGGAGAATCCCTTGGGCAGAGGAGCCTGGTGGGCTATAGTCCATAGGGTCACAAAGAGCGGGACACGACTAAAGTGAATTAGCCGGCCCTGGAGCCTGCAAGCCACAGCTACCAAGCCCCCGTGCCCTAGACCTTCGTGTGCCGCAAAAAGAGGAGCCACAGCAATGAGCAGCCCATGCACCACAATTAAGTAGCCCACCCATTCACCCCAGCGAGAGACAGCCCTGTGCGGCAATGAAGACGCAGCACGACCAAAAACAAACAAACTAATAAATTAAGAAGGAAATAAAACTATGTTTTTTAATAAAAGACTAAGAAATGCCTCCCAGGCAAGGAGACCAAAGAGATGTGACAACTAAATGGGACACAGAATCCCGTGTCCCTTTCACTTTACAATGGACATTACTAGGAAGACTGGATGGTAAAACAGGGCAGACTGACTTCATTTGATGGTCGTGTTGGTGGAGAATATTCTTGTGTGTAGAAAATACACGCCAAAGTATTTGGGGTATGGCCACCATGTCAGCAGTTTATTGCTTAACGCTTCTGGAAAAAATATCTATATTTTTTCACCAGGTTTCAATAGGAATTTCAGTTGTTTCTAGTGACTCAGTCTTTTGCAGAACTGCAGGTCTCAGAGATGGCAGAAAACCCAAGAGACCAGACAGTCTGGCCCCTTGTCTGAAGGGGTGAAGGGTTTTCTTGCCCCCCATTTCACAGAAGAGACAGTTGAGACCGAGCAGGCAGTGTGATGGGCCTTCGCGCGCTCATTTCATGAGCGGATGAGACTGGAGGAAGAGATGGTGGGAACCACAAACAGAACAGCAGGGCACCCAGGTACCTTTCCCTGGAGCCCTGCTTCCGCCCTGACCCTGCACTGGGCCCTGGAGTCCCTCCTGACCAGGAAACGGCCACATTGAAAGCAGTAAAGAAAAAATAATAGGAGTGGATGGTCAGGGCCCAACCTAGATGGCTGAGAACCTTCTGCCCGTTTTCAAGTCCTCCCAGCAAGAAAAGGTCCGGCTGCAGCCCATTCAGGGCCCCTGCAGCCCGTAGGGTCAGGGAGAAGGAATTTCTCAGGAACAGTCTGCTCCAGGAGAAAGGTGGGCATTACCTATGGAAGGACAAGGAGTCACAGACATCTATGTCAGGAGAGTGTCTCTGGGAGAAGCAGACCTGGAGACGGGAGAGGTTGCAGCAGCCGCCCTTCCCCTTGGCCATGAGAGAACGTCCTGTCTGTGCTTGGAGGGGTCAGCCCACACGGGACCAGCATCCCCTCACTGCACATGACCCAGATGGAGCGGGACGCTGGCGTGATGGCTGATGTTGTTCGGTCGCTTAGTCTTGTCTGACTCTTTGTGATCCCATGGACTGAAGCACGCCAGGCCTCCCCATCCTTCACTGTCTCCCAGGGCTTGCTCAAACTCATGTCCATTGATTCAGTGATGCCATCCAACCGTCTCATCCTCTGTCGTCCCCTTCTCCTCCTGCCTTCAGTCTTTCCCAGCCTCAGGGTCTTTTCTAACGAGTCAAGTCTTCGCATCAAGTAACCAAAGTATTGGAGCTTCAGTTTCAGCATCAGTCCTTCCCATGAATATTTAGGGTTGATTTCCTTTAGTGATGGGCTTGTCATTTAAAAGGAAGAATAAAAAAAGCTGTTAAGTCTTGTGGCTGGGGTGTGACTGCGTAGAAGGACTGGCTCGAGAAACATAGATGTGATGCCAGGTTGGAGATTCCTACAGCTTTGTCCCCTGAAGTCAAGCTACTTGAGACATCAAATCAAAGAGGGCAGTCACCTTTAGAAAAACAAGCTGTCCTAAGCTAGACAAGACTTTCCCCAGGCCCCTGGGGGGAAGATCATGGGGACGAGGCCCTGTGGATGGTGGTCAGGGTCATTTCCATTTTCACATCTGGAGAAAGTGGTCCAGGGCCACAGCAGGGACTGGTAACACAGAATCAGGGTCAGAATACAGCCTTCCTCCCGTTTGTCCCCATGGCCTTTCTCCCCTTGCCAACTGTTTCCATCAAGGGAACCTCAGTCTAATGAAATGGAGCCAAGGCTGGTCCCATTGTTCTAGAAGCAGGGACCTGTCAGCCTGCCTGAAAGTAGTCATGGGTTAGCACAGGAGGCTGCCCATTTCCCTACAAACTCAGCCAATGACTTACACCCATGAGGCATATGCAGGGCCTTGTAGCATGGTGTTTCATCTACCTGAGCATTTACAGAACCTCACAACCAAGCGGTACTTAGGGAGTCTGAACTTTGAGCTGCACTGGTGGGTAATCAAGTTGCTTGCTATAACAAAGAGACCCACATCATATTGGCTTAAACAAGATGGAAATCTCTACCCCTGTCATGTAGAAGTTCAAACACGCAGGTGGAAGTATCACGGTGGCTCCACAACCATCAGGGATCCAGGACTCTGTAACTCTTTGCTCTGCCATCCTCAATATGTGCTTCCATACTGTGGCCCAGAATGGCTGCTCCAATTCCTGCCATCGTGTTTACATTCCAGCCATGAGGAAGGCAACATGATGAAAGGCAAGGGCACACCACCATATCCTTGAGGATATGACTCAGAATTTACACACATCTCACTTTCATGCATATTCCATTAGCCAGGATGTTGTCACCTGGTCACAGCTAGCTAAGAACCAGGCTAAGAACCTAGCAACTCGAGCACTAAGTGATGGATAATAATAATGGTACTATGTAACAAATGTATATTGGGGCATCAACTAGCAATTTTGTCACACAAGTGATGCATTTTAGCTGCTCAGAATTAACAGGAAGGTCTTTTTCTCAAGAACGGACACTTTCAGGTCTAAACTGGAACCAGTTTTCTCTGCTCAGAAGTGCATGCAGGATCTGAGCCACACTAGACAGTGGTCAGGCTCACCCACCCACCCCCCAGTCTCTCTCGGGAATCTGTCCTAATATCCTACACTCTCCCTGTTGTCTCCACATCTTTTTCTGCTTTGGGCTCAGCCCCTGGGCTCCTACTCTGTCATGGGGAAGGCGGTGGGGGAAGAGCTGCTGGGGTACCTCCATCTGTACACAAGACTCTACCTGACTCATCTGGTCGTGGAAGGGGACAACAGAGGTGTGGCTCCAGGGGAACCAGGCCTCTATCTTGGCCAAGGGTGACTTCTCAACCAGCTCTCAGGGCAGCTGAGGCTGCGGGTGGGAGCCAGAGCCGGTCCTCTGGGCAGATGGGGAAAGGTGGAAACCACCCTCACCCACCTGTGGATCAGAGTCAGTGGCAGATGCCTGGGAAGATCGGGGATACCTGCCCTCAAGCCAGGCTGAGGGGCCCGCTGTACATGTGCTGGCAGCTGCATCCTTGCCTTTCTTTTTCCACTAAGCCACTTGGAGCAGCCTTCTGCACTGAGGGAGGTGCCAGGTGGCCTCAGACACTCGGCATTCAGGACCCCTTTGGCTGAGGCCAGAGACGAGGGAACTAAGAGTCCAGCGTTTAAAAGCCCTGAGGCCTGGAAGGCAGAACAACACCGTGGTGAAACACACAAATTCAAGTCAGAACTCTGAGACTGCAGTCCTGACTCCAGCATTTATGAGCTTGACCTGTGGGTGGGTTACCTGGTATCTCTACGTCTGAGTTTCCCATCCATAAAACGGAGATCACCGTGCCTATGGGATGGGGTGGGTGAGTCATGAGGCCCTGGGTGACACCAGTCACCCCTATTCCTCAGCATCTTGGAGCCTCCACTTCTCAAGCGTGTAAGCGAGGAAACTGTTCCCACACCCAGCAAGGGACACTGAGGGTGAATGTCTTGCAACTCTAGAAGGTTCTCTGTGTGTGCATGTTCCCCTTCTTTTTTCTTCTCTGCTTTCCTGGGTCTGGCTTCTCTACAGATCGGAGGGAAGCAGATGACTACCCCCACCTGCCCCCCAGAGAATTCACATGCATGTGTGTGTACTCACTCGCTTCAGTCATGTCCGACTCTTTGTGACCCCATGGACTGTAGCCCGCCAGGCTTCTCAGTCCATGGGATTCTCCAGGCAAGAATACTGGAGGGGGTTGCCATGCCCTCCTCCAGGGGATCTTCCTGACCCAGGGATTGAACCTGCATCTCCTGCACTCCAGGCAGATTGTTTACCACTGAGCCACTGGGAAGTCCAGAGAATTCACACCAGCTCTCAATCCAGAGATGGGTCTGCAAGGGCCCTGTTTTTCTGTGTTCTGGCCCATCATGACCCAAGTGACTGACAGGACGTAGCTGAGGACAGAGGAAGGCAAACAGGGTGCCTGGTGCTCACTAGAGACAAAGGGTGTGGGGTGGGGGGCAATGACCCGGGAAGCCCTGCAAGCATCACAAAGAACATCACCACCATCAGCCCTGGAGCCCACGGGGGCTGAGGGGCGCTGGACAGAGGCACACCAGGAAAACATCTGGGTACTTCAGGAGGAAACAGGAGGACTTTGAGGAGTGACCCCAGTGCCCCGAGGGTGGGGTCCACCCTTGCCCATTTCCAGGAGGCAGTCCTAAACAAAACATGAACTCATCTACTTCCTTATTCACCCGTCACACCACCAACGTGATTCATCTCATTTCTCCAGCATCCACTGACTAGTGAGAACACTGGGAAGATTGAGAGAAATCTCATTGCAGCAAAAGCCATCAGAGCTTTGGAAATAGAATCAGATTCTGTCAAAAGTCAGACACCACGGCTTTGACTTGGAGATGGCTGGACTCTAGGGAACTTTCTCCTTCTAGAGTTGCAGGACCTATGTACAGATGTAGGTGCAGGAGGAGGACAGGGTCCGGGGCACTGCAGAGCCCAGAGCTCCTGACTCTCCTGCCCAGGTCTTCTGTGATCTCCTTGTGATGGCCCTCGCACCTGGTGTCCAAGCTTTCTCCTTTTTCATTCATATTCTCAAGTCCATCTCTGGGCTCCTCGTACCTTGTTCTGTACTTGTAGCCTGCACTCTCCACTAAGGTTCCATGAACAGTTTCCACCTGTGATTTCTCAGTTTTACACCTGGAACAGTCATGTTTGTACTTCTTAAGACTCTTAAACCTTTAAGTAAACATGTGCTCAGAAACACAGGTCAATCTGCTAGATGCCCTTTTTAGCTTTGTGTAAGGTCCAGATGGTGCAATGTGGGTTTACACTTATACAAAGTCTAATCTTTGTTTCAAAAATATTATTGATTATAGAAAAGCATTAAGTCCTGCAGAGCAGGTCACTACCAACCAAGATGATAAATGACTGTGACCAGAAGGGGATGTCCTCTCATCACCGGATGTTTCTACTGTCCATGGCGGGAGTAATCAGGTGGGAACTATGCTCCTCTGAGCTTTGTAGGAACAAATTTAACTATTGTGAATAGTGAGTAGACTCTGTTTTGTCTTTAAAATCCAGGCAACTTTTTTCGTTTCACTGAATAAAATGCTCCAGGAAGGTATAGCAGGTTATCTGGGTTATCTTGTGGCTTTGTCTGCTCCCCAGAACATCAGCAGATATCCCCAGGGATTCATGATCCCTGTTTCAGAAGCCCAAGACTGAGGACACGTCTAGCTTGTTAAAAAGATAGAAAGGGGGGCTGCAGAGCTTTAAAGGGATCAGACACTTAAAGCAATCAGTCATTTACACTATAGTCTAAATTTCTCCTCCCCTTTCCTGAGGAGACTTTTTAAGGTCAGGAGAGAGGAGCAAGGAGGAGGCCCAGAACCGGTAAGGGCAGCAGAAGGTACAAAGAGAGAGGGAAGCTGGTATTAACAAAGTCAGCCTTCACCTCTGCGTCCGGCCCAGGGCCAGCCCTGATGCTCTGACATCAGTGAGCAAGCATTTGTAGTATTTGTTACACACCTGCTAGTCCCAGAACATTCCATTCTGAGGCCCCCTGTCAGGGGAGGGCTGCATGGAATCCCCAGGGAGACCAAGCCCCACTGGGACCTGGCTGGGAGTTCAGGCCACAGTATTGATCAGCCCAGGAGATCCTTTCAATCTCCAGGCACCTCTGGCTCCACATAGTCTCAGATTTTAGGCTGCCCGTCCCGCCCTTGGGGAGCAGAAGGCCCTGATCTGGGGTGGCCAGACCCACCCAAAAGGTGACTTACAGGTCGGGCCAGAAATGATATCATGGCTCCAGGCCTTGAGAATTTTCCTGCAGGGCCCAGAGGATAGGTTGCTGGAATGTTCCCTGTGCTGTCTTCACTTCTGGCTGCTGCCAGCTGCACTCCAGGTCTCACGGGTCTCGAAGGGGTTCGAGCTGGCTCATCTGAGATTAAAGCAGCCTGTCTCGTGCATCTCTGGGACCCCAGGAGCCCTTTCAACTGAGGATGATTTGGGGCCTGCTGGGATGGGAGGGGGTCTCCCTGATACCCCTAGCCTGAGTTTGTGATGAGGGTAGGGAGCAGAGTCTGATTATTAGAGCTCAGTTTATTCTTTAGGGCCAATGAGACTCCTGAGAGGTGAGACTGTGCTGTTCGGGGTGAGGCTGGGCCCCTCGTGTCTATTTGGGGACTCGCTATCTTCACTGCCGAGTAAGCAGGGGGCATCTCAGGTGTGATCCCACCTCAGGTGAGCGTGCTCATGACCCATAACCGGTGGGAGCTCCCAGGGTTTAGCATTTCTGGGCCAGGTCTCATGCTCGGGGCTGGACTTGGGTCACCTTAATTTCTTCTCATGATAGACTTGCCAGTCATTCCTTTACCATCTCCGCTGAAGGATGAGGAAACTGAAAGAGAGGCCAAGTTCAAGGTCACAGAGCCAGCAAGTGACCAGGCGACACTGGACGAAAAACCTGTCTTCTGATACTGGCTGGCCCCACAACCAGCCCCTGTGGATGGGAGGAGGGTGCTCCAGGGACACCCGGGCCAGTGACGCAGACCCATGTCTGAGGTCGATCAGCCGGGCCTGGGTAGCCATCCAACATCCTGTCCCCAGCTGGTGGACGCAGGAAGATGTACTGGTAAATGGAGGGCTTAGAAGAGGTCATGAGAAGGGGTTACAACCTCCATCCTTGTGGGGCGGAACCTGAGGGCCCAGGCGAAGTCACACCCTGCTCGAAGGGGCACCGGGACCCTGGATAAAGGAGTGTCCCAGGATTGGCACAGATTCTGCCACGTCAGCAGGAAGCAGGGCCTTCCTCTGTCCACAGAGGCCACTCTGGTCTCACATGTACTCATTTCTTCAGTAAACCAGGTGCTGAGAAGGCTCTGTGCCCACTGACCACACTTCCCAAATCAACAGTCTCCACCAGGGGCTGCCGCTGCAGACAGTGGAGCCAAGTGTTGGAAGCCAGGACTAAGCCAAATCCTGGGTCCCGCCATCACTGGGCATGACTCTCCCTCCCTTCACTCCCCCTCTCCACCAAGGGTGGGCCTGGCCAAAATAAACTGAGCAAGCCCCGCCAGCCTGAGTCGCTACTCCACTGGCCAGCAGGCCCACGAAGTCATGAGGTGTGGTGAAGCGTGGGACCCCGTGGAGCACGGCTCTCTCCCAGAGCAGTCACAGCTTCCAAGAGGTGTGTGCATTCTACAGCTCCTTCGGAATCTCTTCACAGGGAGGCTGTGGCTTAGATTAGCTGCGGCCGCACAGGCTTGGGGGCAAGTGGGGTTCTCAGCAGCAGACAGCACTCCCGTCCTCCCCATCCCCATCTCCACCATCTGTGTTCTTCCTGACCCCTCCCAGGGGGTGATGCCTTTATTACACAGAGCCAGAAAGCACCGGACTGAGAGCAGGCCTCTCTGGAGTGTCTTCTCCCACCACAAATCAGGAGGGACAGCGCTCAGAAAGGCAAACCCTCTTTATGACCCAACAGGGTGGGTCTCAGCATCTCCTAATTTCCTAAAAATGGCATTTGTGGGTCTGAAAGGGATTGCCTGAATTCATTTTTCAATGAAAACATTTTCTCAAAAAGAAAAATTCTTCTGGGCGAGGGTCAGTACAGAATTTTGTTACCAGGGGTGGGTTGTGGAGAGACGGGGGCGTGTGGAGACTGCAGGGACGCAGCAGGCCGGGAGAGCAAGGGTGGACAGGGAGGGGAGGCGGGCGTGGAGACGGGCCTCTGGGCTGGGCTGCAGCTGCTCCTCCCCTCCCCAGGCCCCAACACAGCCCCTGACCTAAGGCTGGCTTCCCACTGCTCCAGACTGACGTGCCCACACAAACGCTGACCCCATCTGTAAACACAAACAAGGCCACTTATCTGCATTGCCTAACCAAGGTAAACAGCCCTTCGAGGGCCCAGGCCCTGCCCTCAGCCTCAAGGTCGGGCTGCTGGGCCAAAGGTATGCACGGGGTGATTTTTTTCGGTGACTTATTTCCTCCTGGCAGGACTTCTGGATTCAAGTGGTTTCAGTTGAGTAGGTCTTTAATTGTCATCAGAGAACCCTAAGTCTAGGAGGAGCCTGAAGCAGTTGTAAAGTCCTACCCCTGGCCCTTTGGCCAGATTTCTGCCATTTTCAGAAGAAGAAGCCCCATAACCACCACTGGTCATACTTGGCAGGGACAGGAAGCCTTTCTGAGGTCTGAGCTAAATCCTTCTGGTTTCGGGGTGGGCCTATTCCCCTCCAGCCCTGCCTCTCACATAAACTCAGGGCTGGTACTGGAGGGCATGCCGCCGCAGGCCTCAGCACAAGCCTCAACAGCTGGAAGACACTGTCCTTTTCCCAGCACATTTGGGAGGTGATGGGCCTGACTTCCTGTTCTGGATGTGCTGCCAGCCAGTTGTGTGACCTTGAGCAAATCCCCTAACGTCTTTGAGCCTCCATGTCTTCACCAGTAAAGTCACAGGGCTGGACTAGAGGATCTCTTAGATGTGTGTCCACCCAAATTCATGTGTTGAAGGCCCAAATAACCCCGATGGTACCGTATTTGAAGACAGGGCCTTTTAGGAGGTGACCATGGTTGAATGAGGTGGTTAGTGCTGGGGTCCCTGGAAGAACAGGAAGAGACATCAGGGCATCCTTCTCACTCCCACCAGTGCACAGAGGACAGTCCGTGAGGGCAGCGAGCTGCAAGTCAAGCAGAGAGGCCTCTCCAGGCTCCAGCCCTGCCAACACTGTATTGGTATTATTTATTTATAAATTCATTTGGCTGCACCAGGTCTTAGTTGTGGCACTCATAGTCTCCGATCTTCGTTGAGGCATGCAGGATCTTTAATTGTGGCATGCAAACTCTTAGTTGGGGCATATGAGATCTGGTTCCCCAATCAGGGATGGAACCCAGCCCCCTTGCACTGGGAGCACAGAATCTTAGCCACTGGACCACCAGGGAAGTCTCCCTGCTGACACTTTTGACCTTGGACTTCCAGCCTCCAGAACTGTGAGAAACAAATGTCTGCGAAACTTGGTTATGGCAGCCCAGGCAGACAGGCCCTTCTGTCTCTGCCATCCTGGAGTCAGTAAGATGGCTGGAACCCCAGTAGGAAACCCTTGTCTGTCCAGAAATTCTCACAGGAGCTCTGTCTCCGAGGTCACCTCTGGCAGTGTGTTTCTGCTTTCAGACTTCTTTAAGCGTAGATCTTTCAACCCCTCTGGGCTCTGAGATCCCTGGGCTGGGGTTGGGGAGGCAGGGAACTGGGTCTTCTCCATCCTTCCCCAGGCTCTGGAGCATAATATGTGTCTAACAAATGTTAGTGGATGGCGGACAGACGTTAGGTAGGTGCACAGATGCGTGGATAGATAGAGGGATGGGTGGACACATGGATGGAGGTCCCTTTAGTTTCGCCTGTTCTGTCTCTCCATTAAGTAATTTCCAGGCTAATCTTCCTAACGTCCAGCTTGGCTCATGGCATGACCCAAATACCTTCAGAGGTTGTGCACTGCTTGCCAAATACAGTTCAAACTCCTCTGCCTGGAATCTGGCCCCCACCTCCTTCTCCCGTTCTGCTCTCCTCCTTTCCCACTGTTCTGCAGCCAAATCACATTAGGCAATCTCTGCACTCCTGCTACTCAGAGTGAGCCTCTGACCTACGCATCTGCCCCACCTGAGAGCTTGTCAGAACTCTCAAGTCTTTCCCCAGACACATGGAAAGAGAATCTGCACTTTAACAAGACCTCATGTGAGTCATGCTTATGAGAGTTTGAGAGTCACGGTGTCTGCAAAGCTCCTGCCAGTCGTCAGTTAAAATCTTGTACATCATTTAGGGTTCAGCTTGCCTACAGCCCCCACCACTGTTCACAGCCCCCATCCCACTTGGCCTAACAATACCCCCCTCACATACACCCCTACACAGACACGCACATGTCTGTTTCCTTTCTCAGGACAACCACAGCACTTAGTTTATGCTTCTCTTATCCCAAGGCTCACATTGTTCTTAAGGTATAAGCATTTGAGATGCATCCCTCTGTTGTAAACTACAATTGTCTGGTGAGTAAGGACCTCGTTAGTCTATTTCATCCCACATCATGTCTCAAAAGATGCCTTGCACCTAGCAGGTATCAGACAAATGCATTAAATAAGTGAATGGATCAATGGAGGAAAGGTTCCTAACAGGGGAGGAAGGTCACAGGATCCTCATTGATGGCAGCTGCCCCAGGGATCCTGGGGCAAGAGTTTCACATGCCTGGTCCTGCCTTTCTTCCCTGGAATACTTGGGAGCCTCTCAGTTTGCCTGCCCCGCTCCAACCCCCAACTCTGGAGTGATGGGGCATGAGACACAATGTGTGGGGCACAGGACCCCTAGAGGCTGTCTGTCTCATTCATGGGTATGGTGGGGAGGGAGAGGGGGTCGACCTTGCCAGGGAAGGACAGCTGAGCTTGCAATAGCATCAGCAATGCTGAGGCTGTCTTCTTCAGCTGTCAGTTCCCACACTGGGATGTCAGGACAGATTCACAGATTTCCTGACCTCAGTAAGCTCGTCTTCCTCCCAACCCATCTTGTCGGGAAGGAGCTCCAGTTGCCTTCACCCAACCCTCCCCCCTTCTCAGGACCCTGGTATTGGGTCAGTATATGGTGCTCTCTGTAGTTCTTATAGTACGTGGTTAAAAGCAGAATGATTCTCCTAAGATCAGGAGCAAGGCAAGGATGCCTAATCCCATCACTTCTACTGGTTACTGTACCGGAGATTCTAGCCAATGTAATCAGGTAAGAAAAAGAAAAGTCACCCAGATTGGAAGGCAAGAAGTCAAACTGTATTTGTAGATGACATGAATCCATTACTAGAAACAACTACTAGAACAGATTGGGTTGAGCAACATCACAGGATACCAGCCTAGTGTAAAAAACTCAACTGCATAGCTAGATATCAGTAATGAACAATCTGAAAATAAGATTACAAAAGCCATTTAATCCATGACAACTCAAAAATAATAACATGATTTCTATGGAAATCCCAGCAAGATACTTTGTAGACAGAGACGAGCTTATTCCAAAATTTATGTGCAAAGGCAAAGGAACTAAATCAGCTAACAAGTTTAACAAAGAATAAAGTAGGAGGACTCACTCTTCCTGATATCAAGACTCACCATAGAGCTACAGTAGAACAGTGTGGTATTAGTGAAGCGATAGACCCAGAGGTCAGCTGAATAGAACAGAGACACCAGAAATATACCCACATGGTAGGTTCTGTGGTTGTTGTTGGTTTGACAAAGGTGTAAAACTTACCCAATGGAGAATGGCGCCTCTCCAACAAAAGGCATTGGAGTGACTGATCATCCATGGGCAAAAAAAAAAAACCAAAACAAAAACAGAAAACCTTAAACCTCATATCCTATACCAAAGCTAACTCAAAGTAGATCATGGACTTAAATGTAAGACGTACAACTATTAGACTTTTAGGAAAGAACAACAACAGAAAACCTTTGAGATCTAGGGTTAGGCAAAAAGGAGAGTTATCACCAAAAAAGATAAGTTAGACTTCATCAAAATTCGAAACTTCTGCTGAGCAAAAGATGCCATTAAAAGGATGAAAGACATGCTACAGATTGGGGGAAAATCATTTGAAAACCACATCTCTGACTTATATCTAGAATCTCTAAAAGAATTGAAAGAATTCTCAAAACTTAAAAAAACAATACACGAAAGCAGACCCTGCTTTTAATTAAATTAGAAAGGCAGAAGACATGCACAGACATTTCACCAAAGAGGATATATGAATGACAACCACACAAAAAGATGCTTAACATCATTAGCCATTAGGGAAATGAAAATCATAACAAGGAGACACCAGTGTACACTGATTATGCAGCTAAAATTAAAAAAAAAAAGCAGTGGTAAGACCAAATGCTGGCAACAAGGTGAAGAAACTGGATCTCCCCTACATTGCTGGTGGGAATGGACAATGGTGCAGTCACTCCAGAAAACAGTTTGGCAGTTGTTTCTTAAGAAACTAAACGTGCACTTACCACATGATTCAGCAATTGTACTCTTAGGGATTTGTCCCAGAGAACTG